TATTTATAAAAATAATTGAATTATAGTGAACATTTTTACAAACCTTTTTTTAAATAATTGGATTCTATTTGCAAATTTTATGAAAATATACTATAGATATTGAAAGTCATTGAATTATATCAAAATTTTTGAGAATAATAAGAATGTCTGTGTGGCATTTCATAAAATTTTTTTTAAAAAATAATTGAATTTCTGTGAAAAATGTTGTTATTTATGAAAATAATTGAATTCTTACGTACGATTTTATTAGAATTTTTTGAAATACTTGAATTTCAAAAAAAATGTATTATACTTTTAAAAATAATTGAATTCTTGTGATAAATGTTACTATTTATGAAAATAATTGCAATCTGTATTTTATTAAAATGCCTCAAAATAATTGAATTTTCGGGGAATAATTATGTTATTTATCTTTAATAATGGAATTCTTTCAAAGAATTATTCATGAAAATAATTGAATTACTGCAACAAATTTTATTAAAATGTTTTTAAAAAAAATTGAATTTTTGTGAAAAATTTTGTTAAATTCTTGAAAATAATATTGAATTCTTCATAAGAATTTTATATAAACATTGGTTTAAATAATTAAATTTTTTCAAAATATAATAATTATGAAAATTTTATTTTAAATAATTAAATTCTTGAGGAAAACTTTATTTGTCAATATAATTGAATTTTTCGATTAATTAATTTAAAATAGTATTAAAAATAATTGAAATTCTTCGATAAGTTTTATTTTTTATGAAAATTGAAATCTTGCTTAGAATTTTATTAAAAAAATTTTTAAGAAATTCAATTTCCATGAAATATGTTATTGTTAGTGAAAGTTATTGAATTATTATGAAGAAATTGTATAAAAATTTTCTTAAATAATTGATTTTTTTCGAAATTTTTTTGAAAATGTTATTCTTAATTAATTAAATTTCTATGGCAATTTTATTATTTATGAAAATAATTGACTTTTGGATGAATTTTATCAATTTTTTTAAAAATAATTTTATTGAATTCTTTTGCGAAATTTTGTGAAAATACGAGATATTGAAAATAATAAAATGAATTTCGAATATTTTTTGAAAATAATTGAATCGTATTAAAGAAATAGCATTTTTTTTTTTTTTTTTTTTTTTTTTTTTTTACTTTGACAAATGCATCTGACGTTAAAAAAGCAGCGTTATTATACTGCTCCGTACGCTTAAAATAATTAATCGAAGTAGTCACTATTTTCTACTTTTTTTTACTTTAACCCCTCTTGAGAGGTGATATTATTACCCCTCAAGATTCCAATCTTCTTCAAATGTACATTTTACTGGACTATTAACAATATCATCGGTATGATCTTTGAATAATAAATCAGGCAACGCAACCAAGTTACACTCAAGAATTTTTGTTTTATATTTTATGAACCCTCTCAAGATTAACAGCTTCAATATATCTATTTATCTTCTCGAAACATGAGATGAATTTCGATATATCGAAGTGAACTTCCGATACTGAAATTATGTATAATTTAAATATATGTGTTATCTGCACACTAATATATAATTTCTCACAATGGAAATTTTTAAAAAAATTCGATTTCTTTGGAAATTAAAGAAAAATTGTAAATTAATACCTCAAAATAACAAATGAACCTAAAGTTCCTTCCCCTAAGGTTTCTTTTTAACATTTTCTATGTATACCAATTTTTTTTCAACTCTCTAGATCGAAATAGCTTAGAAATGTAGGGAGAAAAAGAAAATTAGTTATTTAATAAAAAATAGCTCAATTTCGAAGTATAGAATATTTTAATATTCTTTCAGTACGTATATCTTTCTTATTCCATATAAAGACAAAATATATTTTCTTTATATTGATTGCCAGAGTTAACCGACACTGCAACTTTTACGTAATTAACCTATATTCCGACTTACGTTGATTTTTTATTTTTCACTCTACAAAAGCATAATTATTTCTAGAGTATTGAATTTTCGTAATATAGGGGTAGTTTTTAAAAACAAGCACCTTTTATTGATATATTATAATAGTCAACTTTTTATTCTTACTTTTTAGAAAACAAAAAATATCTCAAAGGCCTCTTTAATTGACCAAAAGTTTTTTCTATAATTTCTAAAAATTATTAGATACTCAAAAAAAAAGTTCTATTAAATTTATTTACAAATTCCTTTAAATGTAAAATTATTCGAAAACATCAATAGTTTTATTTAAAATAAATGTTTAAAATTTAAAATTAAAATTTTCTTTTTCATTGGAAATTTGAAATTAAGGTGTTGAAAAATTTCAAATTCAAACCTTTTCAAATTGAACAACTCATAAGAAAATTATTATACATAAAGAGGACCGACTGACAAAATCATTAGTTTATTATTATAAGAATATTGTTACTGTAATTTTTTTCCAAATTATTTCTATCATTTCAATTCAATTAACATTTTCTAGAATTTTTATAACTAAAATTTTACTTTAAATCAATAACATCAATTATTATTATTCAATTAAACTTTTTTAAAAAAAATTAATTCTACAGAATTGTTAGTTAAAAGTAACGAAAAACAATAATTTAATTCTACGAGAAATCAATTATTTTAATACAAAAATAAATAATATTGAATCTTTCTTAAATATTAATTTTTACGAAGAATTGTATTAACAACTTTTGAAAAATAATATTTAATTTCTTTTAAGGAATTTAATTAAAATTTAAATGAAATTTATTATATTAAAGAATTTTATTGTAATGTTTGAAAATAATTGAAAACTTTTTGAATTTTATTCAATTTTTTTTAAATAATTGAATTCCTGAGAAGAATTTAAATAATAATTTTTAAAAACAAAATTAATGAGAAGAATTTTATTTAAATTTTTCAAAATAATTGACTTCTTGAGAAGAATTTTTAAAAAAATTTTGACAATAATTTAATTCTTGAGAAAAATTTCCCTATCTATTTATAAAGATAATTTAATTCTTGACGAAAATTTTTGTAAAAATTTTGAAAATAATTTAATTTTTGCAAAGTATTTTATTACTTTTCAAAAGAATTGAATTCTTGTCATGAATTTTCATATATTTATCAAAATAATTCAATTTTGGAAAAGAATTTTATTAAAATTCCTTAGAATAATTTATTTTATGGGAAGAATTTATGCGATTTTGTTGTTTATCCAGCAAATTGAATTCTTTTGCAAAATTACTTAAAAAATTTTTGAAAATATTTGATTTTCTGCGACGAATAATTGAAATAATAATTGAATTCGTAAATGAAATTTTATTATTTATGAAAATAATTGAATCTTTTCGTAGAATTGTATCAAAAAGTTTTTTCTTTAATTAAATCTGTTGATAAATTTTATGAAAATAGTAAATATTGAAAATTATCGAATTGCAAAAAACTTTTGAAAAATAATTGAAATGTTGCAAAGAATTTTATTTAAATTTTGGAAAATAATTGAATTTTTGGCGAAAAATTTTGCTAAATTTATAAAAATAATTTAATTCTTGACGAGATATTCATTGAAATTTATAAATATAATTGAATTCGTGCAAAGTATGTATTTTATTCAATTTTTTTTTAAATAATTGAAATTTTGCAAAGAATTTAATTAAAATTTTTGACAATAATTGAATTCTTGAGAAGAATTATTTTGGTATTTATCAAAATAATTGAATTTTGGAAAAGAATTTCATTAAAAATCCTTGAAATATTTTTTATTTATCCTTATTAAATAATTAGCATTAAATAATGCATTATTTGCATTAAATAATTCCGTTCACTTGAAGCTATAAAATAAATTAATTGTGCCAAATAATTTTTATTTATATCAAATATCCAATTAATTGAGTGAAATAAATTAATTCTTAAAATGAGTTTTTTTTTAGAAAAAAAAATCATTATTTTGGTTTTAATAAGTTATTTATTTGATCAATATTTTTTAATATTTTTAAATATCAAATATTTTTTATTTGTTTCTATTAAATAATATACTTACATTAAATAATGTATTCTATGAATTAAATAATTTACTTTACTTATTGAAGCGATAAAATAATTTAATTGTTGTTAAATAATGTTTATTTATATCAAATAACCAATATTAGTTGAGTAAAATGAATAAATTAATTGTTTCAAATAACTCATTACTTGTATTAAATAAATTCGTATATTACAGAGGAGTCAATTAATTATTTAATTGACCCAAAATTAAGATTTATTTGATTCAAATAAATGTGATTCAAAATAATAAAATTCAAGTTACTTTGAAGCAAATAAATATTTTTCAAATAATTTAAATTAATTGAATCAAATATAGAAATGTTTCAAATAATTTAAAAATTAATTGAATCAAATATAAATATTTTTCAATTAATTTGAATTAATTGAATCAAATAAATATTTTTCAAATAATTTGAATTTATTGAATCAAATATTTTTTTCAGTGTATATTTTTGCTTTCCTTGTTTTTAGTTTGTTTCCATTTTATTATTATCACCATCGAATTACATTGTATTAATTTTTTTTTAGTTTTTTTCTTCTTGTTATTTAGTTTTATAATATAATTGATTTCTACGAAAAAGATTTCTTTTGTTTAAAAAAAGAAATAGTTTTTTGCATTATTAAATTTTTGTCACTTCTTACGTAAGAATTTTAGTAGTGAAAAAACTTGTTTTGGGTCAAGTGTCGCTTTACTTTACCTTACAACAAATGATGTAAGAATGGCAATTTTTTTTTTATTGAAAAAGAAAGATTAAAAAAAAATTTTTTGTATTCGACACCAGAGTTGGGGAAAAAAAATTAAAGAGATGGATTAAAATAAAATAACTATATACAGAGGGTAAATTTTTTGAATGTCTGATAAGCGCCCTAATTACGCCGTGACTGGAGTGCGCGCGTAAAACGCGCGAAAATTTCTAGTTTGGTGAAATTTTTTTGAGAAAATTGGGTCAAAGAGAAAAAAAAAATATTGAAGAATGAGAGAGAGAAAAATGAATGAAAAATGAAACTTACCCCATAAACCAGTCCACGGTATCGCGGAGATACTCGGGTAGTTTATCCAGCTTGGATGATTTTTAAAAAGATCACTTGCCAGTTTAGATTTTTACAGGATTTGGATCACTGCTTTTTTTTTTATTTAGAACTTTTGTTAATTTTTTAATTATTTATTTATTTACGAAATTTTGTCTAACAATGTTGGAATTTTAACACGACACTATTTAGTGCTGGACAATGTTCACTTGATAATTATTGGAGAATTTGTCAAAGCTAACATGGCGCGACACTATTGTTACCTGTGTGTTTCTTTGGTGGTTGTTCGTCGACGACGACGACGACGACGTTGTTGACGACAACGACGATGACCTCGTCGCGCACCTTCGCCGTTCGTATCCGTTGGAGTCCTTGCCACTGGACTCCCGGAGGAACGAGAAGTCGCGCGCGCACGGTTCCTCAGGATGTGAAATAATATCGCGCGTGATCTCGAGCGATCCGCGATATTTTATTATCACTTTTTATTACTATTTTTAATGACAATGATGATAATAATGAGGATAATGAGAAATTTTCATAAAACGAATACGCGACTAGCGACGACATAGGCACAAGAACAACCTCGTCGTCCCGACACACACTGCTCGGCCAGTAACAACAGCTGATCTAACCTTTAAGCTTAGGTTAGAAAAGTTTCCCAGTTCCCAATTTTGTCCAATACAGTTAAACGTGAAATGTAAACTCCAAGAGGAAACATGTCACACATACACTTGTATTTTAATCCTATAAAAATGAATAAAGTGTTTTAGAATTTTGCCAAAGAGGGTGACACATGTCAATATTCTCTAAATATCAATGTAGTTCTTCTTTATCGACAGTTGGCGATTTATCACCCTTAAAACCTAGTCGCCACTGTCGCACTTGTAAAATTAAAGAGTAAAGAATAAAACTGCATTATCGACTCTCAATATTTATCAAACAAAATATTATTCAATTTGTTAAAAGTCAGTTTTTTGATCAAAACAAGAAAATATTATTTATTAATATTCTCCTAACGTTTAATTAATTTATTTATCATTTTTAATATATTGACTATATTTTCAAACGGGGAGAAATAATTTGCTCTGGATTTGAATTTGTCCCTTGGAAAATGGGGAGAGTGTTGGAGTGGCGCTCGACAGAGGGCCTCTTGTGAGTTCTCTCGCAGGCGAGACGCGTTTCGAGTAGTATATAAGTCGAGGCGAAACGACGAAAAGACAAGATCATACTTCACAGGATCATTTCTGTAGTATATCTTCACGTCCTCTCTACCCAAAAGTGGAGTCGATGCAGCCACGATGATGAGCAGTAGCTCTTCTCTCTGAGCGTGAGAGGCTGCTGGCGAGATCATTCTTATGATTTTTCCAGTACTCGAGGATCGTTCGCTATTTGCAGTTTGTGCAAATAGTAATGGGAGTTTGAGCGTTCTGAGTGGTCTTCTATTATTTATTATAATCAAAAAAAAATTTTTTTTTAAATAATCAAAATTTAAAATCGAATATAAAAAAATATTTAAATAACAAAATTAGGTGAAATGTAAATAAATAATAAATTCAAATGACATTTTAACCACCTTCATATAATAAATATTTTAAATTAATTATTTCAAATGGCATTTTAACCACCTTCATATAATAAATATTTTAAAATAGATTAATTATTTCTTAAAATTATAACTGTTCTTCATACTATCATTTTAATCATGCAACAAACTTATTTCATTTATTCAATATAAATCCATCGAAATAATTCAATTATTTTCTCAAATTTCAATTTTTCAAAGGATTTCAATTATTTTCAAAAATTTTAATAAAATTCAATTATCTTCATAAAATGTAAAAGTATTTTGAAGATTTCAATTATTTTCAAAAAATCTTCATAAAATTCTTCCTAAAAATTTAATGATCTTTTTAAAAAATTAAATTTTATTTGTATAGGTAAGATTTCAATTATTTTTATTAATAATAAAATTCTTCGTAAGAATTCAATTATCTTCATTAAAAAATATTTAATTCTTTGGAAGATTTCAATTATTTTCATAAATAATAAAATTTTTCAAAGGATTTCAATTATTTTCAAAAATTTTAATACAATTTTTCGCAAGAATTTAATTATCTTTAGAAAAAAAAATCCTTTGATAGATTTAAATTATTTTCATTTTATAATAAAATTCTTCGGAGGATTTCAATAATTATTTACAAAACAATTTTAATTAACTTTAAAAATCAAATATTTCATTATAATTATCAACAGACAAGATTATTTAAAAAAAAAATTTCTAATTCTTTTGTTTAAATTCAATTATTTTCAATTAAAATTATTTAAAAAACTACTTTATTTAAAAAAAGCACGAAAACTCTAATAAAATTGTTTAAAAAAGTAAAATTTTCTATAAATAATTTTAATAAAATTTTAATAGTAAAATTATTATTCACAATTATAAAATTATTAAATAAATTAATTATATTCAAAATAAAAATTTTTTGAAAGAATTCAATTTGTTGTCAAAACCTTTAATAGTATCTATTCTTCGAAAGAATTTAATTATTTTTTTAAAAGAAATTTTTCATAAAATTCCATTTTCTTTCATGATTTTTAATTAAAATTATTGAAGAAACTCCATTATTTAAAAAAAAAAATTCAAGGAAATTCTTCAAAAGAATTTAATTCAGATTTTTTTAAATATTAGAAAATTGTATTATGAAAAAAAAAACATTCGGAAATAATTCGCTATCAAAATTGTTTTTTCCACATGAAATAATTTTGGATAATGGAAAGAAGACAATTTTTATTAAAATTCTTTAATTTTTTAAATTAACAATAAATTATATATATATACATATATATTTGAATCAATTATTATTTATAATATAATTACAATATAATAATTAACTGTAACGCTGTACATTGCAATGATTTCTTGTAATAGTTTTAAGTACTTTACGTAACAATTGTTCAAGACAACGTCGAAATGTAATGCCACACATTGCGTAAAGTAAAAAATTTATACTAAAGTTAGTATAGTACAAAAGCATAAAGAATTGTTGTAAACACCACAGTAAAGTAGGAGTATCCCTCCTTGCCAAGGCGAAAAAGTAAACACAGAACCGGATGACGTAACTGAAAATAAAAGAAAAGGACACAAATATAGATATTTATTATTTATTTTAGTTGTTATTAGTTGTTGCAATTTTTTTAATGTTCAAAACAATTTTAAGATTACATATTATATATGGGACCTGGTCTCATACAATATGGCGGATGTGCTTTTTAAAAATTCAACGGATTTACTTGAAATTCATTATTCGGGGGTTTTTTTAGGTTAAGTCCAGAATTTAAAAAAAATCAATTTTGGAGCAATTAGAAATAATTGGACCGAAATTGAATTATTAAAAAAAAAAAATAAATAAAATTCAACTATGTTCAAAATTTGAAAAAAATTCTCGTAAAAATCCCAACTATCTTTATAATAAATAAATAATATATAATAAATAACATTGTATGCAAACATTTAATTATTTTCATAAATATAATAAAAATTTCAATTATTTTCATAAATGCGATAAAATTTTTTTTAAGGAATTCAATTATTATTTTCATAAAAAATATAATTTAAAATTCTAGAAAATAATAATATTAAATTAAAATGATGAAAATTATTTTTCTTCTATTTTCTAAAAATAAAATAATAAATAAATGCTTTTTTGTTTCTTAACTTTTTTAATAATTTTTCTTTTCAAATAAATTTTCAATTTTAAAATTAATATATGTATGGAAAATCATCGAATTCTTGCAAAGAATTTTATCAAAAAAATTTAATAATAATATAGAATTTCTTCAAAGAATTTTATTATTTAAAAAAATATAAAACTAAATTCTCGCAAAGAATTTTATTCAAATTTTTCAAAATCCTATAATTTAAATTCTTTTGAAGAAATTCTTTTAAATTTTTTTTTAAACTAATGGAGTTTGTTTAATAATTTTAATTAAAAATTTTGAAAGCAATTAAATTTTATGAAGAATAATTTTATTAAAATAATTAAATTCTTGCGAAGAATTTTACTATTTATAAAAATAATTGAATTGTTTCGAAAAGAATTTATTAAAATTTTAGAAAATAAATTAATTTTATGTTAATATTTGAAAATTTAAAATTCTTTCGTGAAATTCTATTGAAATTGTTTTGAAAAGAATTGAATTTCTGCAATAAGGATTTTTACTATTTTTTAAAAATAATTGAATTATTGTGAAAAATTTTACTATTTATCAAAATAATTGAAATATTTTGAGGAATTTATTAAAATTTTAAGAAATAATTAAATATTGTTATGAAGAATTTTATAGAAATAATTAAAAAAAAAATAATTAAATTTTTTCGAGAAATTTAATAATAAAGTTATATTTTGAAAATAATTCAATTTCTTTAAAGAATTTTATTATTTTTTGAAAATAAAAATAAAATAATAATTAAATAAAATTTAATATAAAGTTATATTTCGAAAATAATTCAATTTCTTTAAGGAATTTTATTATTTTTTGAAAATAATTGAATTCTTTCAATTTGATTCAATTAAAATTATTTTGAAAATAATTGAATTTTTGTAAAGATTTTACTATTTAAAAAAATAATTGATTAAATTTTTTTTTTTTTTTTATATAAATCATTTTTAAATTTTAATTTCAAATACGTAGAAAATAAAGATTATTTTTTTAATTAAGTACCTTGGCAAATTTAATAGAATGAATACAGTGCTTATAAGTAGAAGCATTTTTGTAATGCTTTGTTGATTTCTTGTCGATACTGGATTTCGTGATGAAGAATTCACATCTGAAAATATTAAAAATATATTTAGAATCTATTTCTAATTAATTAAAAGTGTTATTATTATTTTCTAAAAAGAATAATGGAATTAATTATTTTTTAACCAAGAAAGAATAAACGTCTTTTATAATTTTATTTTAAAAGAAAAAAATTTCCCGTATTTTATGCTTGTTATATAAATGAAATTGTATAACATTTTGTAGTCCAGCACATTTTTATAAATTTTTAAAAGTTTTTCATTTTTCATTTTTATCAACTAAAACCTGCTTTTTGAAAAAACTAATTATTAAAATTTTCCATATTCTGATTTTTGAAATTTAAAATTATTTTCAATTTCAATTTTCGAAAATTCAAATGCATATATGTACAATAAATTAATATACAAATACCTATTAAAATATTTTATAAAATTATTTTCGTATGTAAATTGTACGATATTTGGATAAATTTAGAGAAATTACAAATAATTGCAGAAATTCATTTTTTATTTTCAAAAGTAATAAAACTCTTAGCAAAAATTTAATTATGTGTGTTCAAACATTTTTTTAAAATTCTCGTCAAAATTTCAATCGTTTTTATGGAAATAATAAAATTATTTTCCAAAATTTAAATATTTTTAAAAAATTGCAATAAAATTCTCATCAAAATTTCAATTGTTTTTATAGAAATAATAAAATTATTTTCCAAAATTTAATTATTTTCAAAAATTTTAATAAAATTCTTTTGGCAAAATTCAAATTCTTTTCAAAAATTATCCTCTGTTCAATGATTTTTCAATATTTACTATTTTAATAAATTTTTCCAAAAGAATTCAATTTAATTAAAAAAAAATTTTTTTAATTCTACGCAAACCTTTTATTTACTTTAAAAAAATAATAAAACTTTCACAGAAATTCAATTATTTACAAATTTTTTATAAATTTCTTCGTAATATCATTCAATTATTTCGATAAATAGCAAAATTTTACCTGGGATTCAATTATTTTCGTAAATAATGAAATTTTTGCCAGGAATTCAATTATTATTTTTATAAATAATAAAACTCAATGCTAAATTTCAATTATTTTTAATAAAATTTTAATGCGGAATTTCTCAAAAAGTGTATTAAAATTCGTCAAAAGAATTCAATTATTTAATAATTTTTTTAAATTCTCCTTAAAAATTTAATTGTTTTTATAGAAATAATAAAATTATTTTCAAAAATTTTAATAAAATTCTCATCAAAATTTTAATTTTTTTCAAAAATTTTCCTCAATTCAATGATTTTTAATATCTACTATTTTAATAAAAATTTTCCAAAAGAATTCAATTATTTAAACAAAAATTTAATAAAATTTCACTTTTTCGCAATGATTCAATTTTTTTTAATAAATAATAAAAGTTTGGACAAAGATTAAATTATTTTCATAAATATTAAAACTCATCTGAAAATTTCAATTATTTGTAATACAATTACAAATTTATCAATTATACAATTATACAATTATACAATTTATCTAATTTGCTCAACAAATTTAATTATTCTTAAGATTTTTATTAAGATTCGTCGAAAGAATTTAATTATTTAAAAATTTATTGATAAAATTCTTTATTTGAATTCAATTGAGCAATTATTCAATAAATTATTTATTTTTTATTGAAATAAAATTGAACTTTTCGTAGAATTTTCCAATAAAAATTGATTTCAAATTAATTATTTCAGTTTAAATTTCAGATAATAATTGAATATTAAATGCATTATATAGCATTAATTTATAGAAATAATTAAATTTTGAAAAGGTTTCAAATTAAAATCTTTGAAAAATTTTAATTTTTCATACTTTTAACTAACAATTCTGTAGAAGAATTAATTTTTTTTTTTTTTTTTGAAAAAGTTTATTTCAATATTTTACTTGAAATTTTTTTGTTTTGAAGTTTTTATTCTCTTAATTTATATTTAATAATTGAAGAATTTCCGAATAATATTGAAGTTTTGTAAAATTGAATTGTAAACAAAATGAATTTTAAAATTTTCAAGAGAACTTTTTCAAAAATTATTGAAAATAATTTATTTTTAGAAGAATTTTAGTAAAAAACACTAAAAAAAAAATTTAATTTTGAAAAAATTACAAATTATTGTAGAAATCGGCAGAAATTCAATTATTTTCAAGAGTAATAAAAATTCTTCGCAGAAATTAAATTATGTTCAAAAATAATAAAATTCCTTTTATGAATTCAATTATTTTCATAAATATTAAAACTCATTGCATAATTTCAAATTATTTTTAATACAATTTTAATCGAATATCTCGAGAAAAATGCAATTAATTCTTAAAAATTTTATTAAAATTTGTCAAAAGAATTCAATTGTTTAAAAATTTTATACTAAAATTCTTTATATGAGAATTCAATTTTAAAAAACATTCAAATATTCAATAAATTATTTACTTTTGTATTTAAATAATTGAATTCTCGTAAAATTTTTTAATAAAATTTGATACAAAAATTAATTTTAGTTCAAATTTTAGATAATAATTAAATATTTATTTATTTATTTATTTACAACATAAGATCCCGCGATCCAAAATGGATCATAAATGGGTAACGAGAAGTCGTTATTAAATATTAAAAGCAATGTAGCGTGAATTTTTAGAAATAATTGAATTTTAAAAAAGTTTAGGTTGAATTTTTTTTATATTATTTGAAGTTTTTATTTATTTTATATATAATGAGAAAAGCTAAAATTGGAAAACTTACGAACACATCTTGCAAGAACATCAGAAACTTGATATGGACTTCTTGGCGTTGAGGGAATTGCCACTATTGAAGGTTGATGCCTTGAATGTTGCGAATGGCTACTTTTTGAGGAGTGGAATGATTGTTGAGAGGGATGTCTTCTTCCACTAATACCAGTATTTAATGGAATACCGTTCACTTCATTTTGACCACTACTTGCAGTCTGAAAACAAAAAATTTTTTTATTTTTATTGTTACAAACTTATTTATTATTTTTTCGAAAGTTGAAAAATTTACCTCTATAATAATTATTATTAGTTATCCCGTTTTGAATGATTATAATAAAAACAATAATAATTTTTAATAATTTTTTTTTTTTTTTTTTTTTTTTTTTAATGAACGAAAATATTTTTTTACTTTTATTTTTAATAAATAAAAATGTCAAACTGTTGACATAACAATAATGCGAATTATAGAACAAAAAAATTGCAACAAAAAAACACTGTAACTTCACGTGAGAACAAATTATCTTGATTATTATCATATAACTTGGAATTTTTTAGCTTCGTTAATTTTTTCTATACAATTTTATCTTCCATCACTATTTTATATGATAGATAAAAAGAATATCCCAACCAAAGTGTAACACCTGTTATAATATATCTGGTTATACAAGAAAGTATGTCACACATCAGTGTTGTTTCTTCTTTTATAGAATAAATGACAATTTATCATTAAATAAAATGTTGAACTGTTATTAATCAAAGTTGTGTGTAATAATACTTGTATACCAGATGCTACTTCTCCAACCTTCGAAACATTTTTCCAACAAAAAAAAAAAAACAAACAAAATAAATAAAACAACATTATCTGGAAACTAAAATTATTTTTTATTTCAAGATAAGAAAAAAAGTGACTGTCATTACAAAGTACTATTAAAAATCACTTATTGGGGAATTCATGTCTTGGTATTCGAGTTGTCCATTAATTTTCGATAAAACTATACGTTTCTTAATCAATTTACAATTTTACATCTTTAATATTGTATCTTCAAGCGATCACGTTATTTAAAGTTGAGAACTGAACGAACAAACTTGTTCTCTAATTAAGTTCTCTTGGGAAAATAATTAATTATTGTAATTAATTATAGTAAACACAAGTAATATAATAAATTTGTTTTTTGAAATTGTGCTTTTTCAAAAAAAAATTTGGGAATTCAAAATAAAAATTTTGTTTCTACATTTCTGCATATACATTCGTAAGTAAAAATTTAATTCATAAAATTTGTCGAAAAACTCACATATTATATTACAGAGAAAACTATACGTTAAATTCATCACATTTTTCAAATATACAAAAATAAATAAAGAGCGAAAAAGAATAAATAAAACGAGTATAACAAACAACAAACAAGTAAAATATAAAATAATTCATATCTTTTTTGAAGGCGAATGTATATTCTAAAATAGAATGGAATTTTCACTGTTTACATAAAAATTGACCTAGAATTAATTTTTTTCCATTTAATTTATTATTTATTTAAAAATATTTAATATATTTTATTAATTCTTTTTATTATAAAGTGCATTCATTATATAATTTTAAAACAGAAATTCTTATTTCCTTTATGTAGAAAAAATCATCAATCCGGAAGTATTTCAACAAGATTTCCCATCTTAAAATTACTTGAACTTTAATAAAAAAAAAACAAGCAAATAATAAACGTTGAGAGGGTGAAATTAGAAGGCTACAATATACAATCAACATTCACGAGAATGTATGTAAGATTGAGAAACATTAAAGCTGAACTAGACAAACGTGCAACGACAACAATCCCATTATTTCTAAATGAAAAAAATTCTCAAATTAATTGGACTTTTTGCAATTTTTCTTATAAGGAAAAAATTAAACATTGTACAAATTTGAAAAATGTGCGAAAATACATTTCTAAGATGAGAATTTTAAAAAGATGGTTAAAAAACTTTCTTAAGAGAAATATTACAGAAGATCAATTTACTGAATTGAATCGTCATTATTTATATGCTGTGGAAATTGGAAGTTTTGTTTAAAAAATTACTATTATGAATTGTTTAATACAGTTAAATTTTTTTAATTTTATACATTAACCGTCACTTCAAACTATTATTTGCTGTAAAGGAAAAAAAAAATTGTATTTATCACTTCAAAACATTATTTGCTGCAAAGGAAAAAATGGTATTTTATAATTTTATACGTTAACCTCACTTTAAACTATTATTTGCTAAAAAAAAGGAAAAAAATGATTAATATTAACTTCTTTGTAGAACGTAATATGTAATTATGGCAACAGACTTAGTGTACTACTGCGCATTTGTAATTGCCGTAATTCACTACTGCGCATGACTAGATCCTACAGTTTACTACTGCGCATGCGCAACCATCATAGTTCACTTCTGCGCTTGCGTAAATACCAAAGTTCATTGTTGTGCCGTAGTTCGCTGCTGCGCATTTACAAATATCTCATTTGTTCTTCTGTTAGTTGGCTATGCCTATAAAGTCATTGAAGAAGAAATATCTCATTTATAATTAATTAATTAATAATAATGTACATAACATAAAAAAAGAATTTAGTGTACAAATCGATGTAAATTTTAATTACAACGAATTTTAAAATCAAGTAACCATTTTTTTCTACCTTCCTTAATTTAAAACCAATTTCAATTCCTGACATTTGCTATAATTACATTTTCATTTCGTGAATTTACTACTAAAATTTATGTGAATTACCAACCTAATATCAACTTATAGGGATAAACGATTTACGACGACAAGATTTTAAATACAAATATGCAATTGAAGAATACATCGTTATTGATTGTTATTAAATGAGAAACATGTTCAGAACTTCTGGAAAAAGTTCCCCAGGGATTTGAAGTTTTACTGCGTTGCTAATTTTGAAATATAAATTAGTAAAGTAACTACAATATATATCTTATTAGAGATTCGAAAACAACGACACGTGTAGAGTAGACAAAATAACTTCTGAAACTTTTGCCATTATTTCAGTTTCCAATTAAAGTGTTCTCCCTTCTAGTAATGTTAAAGTCAAAATGTTGTAGTAAATTTTCAATTCTCCAATGTAAGTCATTTTGTCCACAACAATTCGTACATTGATTCCGAAATCAATAGAACCAGCCAAATAATTGATAAGAAGAAACTTTTAATGCGAGATATTTGCGTAACACTTCTCCTGCGAAAAGTAGAAGGGACAGAAAATATCCAACAATTAATACGAAGAGAAGTACAGTTTTCAGTTCAGACACAGCACCAACGACGTTCGCTTTTATCAATTTTTTCTTGTAATTGATGATGTCGAAAAGTAACTCATGGTTCGAAATGTTATTCGCCCATTTAGTACGCAAACCAGATTGAACGATAGCACCAATCAGTTTATCAATTCTTGGTTTGTAGGGTGTACTTCTTTCTAATACTACTATTCGTCTTACATTAAACAATTTCTGCTTGAGTACCCTACTAAGAGGATTTCCAACTGCATCTCTTAATAATTCCACTAACTGTCTTGCATAGGATGTAAATATAATACAAGAAACGTTCTTGTGTTTCACAAGAGTGGAAATACATCCAGTATCGATAAGTTCGTGAGGAATCATTTTTTCCTTCAGTAGTTTTACATCTTCTGAATCATCATCAAGTAATCTGTAAAGACTAGGATGAATCATTGGGGCGAAGGGCGATTTCGCCAAATCAATGAACGTATCGATCGCAACTTCATTTGAATTACTTAATTTAGTTGCAGTTAGACCAGCCAAAAAGCTAATGGAACAGTAAAAACCAATTGCTGTCAGGTATAAGAAGATGATTCGATTACCAAAATTTGTGGGTTGCTGAGGTATTACTGTGTATAATACCATAGCTGCAATGTATTCTGGTTTCCAAAAGTTATTTTCACTTTTGTGTCTACTTATTACTACCCACATTATGATAACAAAAGTTATGAAGAAAACCATTTTGGATAATAGATTTTTCACGCTTAGATATTCTTCCTCAGTGCTAGTGTGGGTAATGGGCATTAGAGCAACCAACGCTTCCATTTCAATCGTACTTGAATATTCGTATAATGTACCGTCTGCAGCTGGCCGAAAATTCATGTTCGTAGTGATAAGAATACTAATTTCGTTGTTTATAAGTTTCTTTAACATTCCGGTTGCTTTACTTCCCACAAATACACCAATTGTTGAATTTACGTTCGAATCAATATGTGTTGTAAAATTCATAGCTTCAGATAAAGTGTAAAACTGTTGAACATCTACACCACTACAATTTGTTAGTCGTCCAGCTTTGTCATATGTAGCTAAACTGAAAGGTGGTTTCAGGTTTAAACCACTCCTTATCAGGTAACCCCGAAGATTTAATAGTTTATTTGGAAACCAATCTGTTGTTACAGAACATACTTTTCTTAAATATGTCTCCGCAAAAGGATTGTAAAAATGAACAAACGGTCGTTGTTTCCTATAGATTAAATTTTTTTTATGTTTGTTTTCTATTTCGAGTATTGTTAAATCCAGAAATTGTTTCAACCACATTTGATGGAGAAATTCTTTGTATGATGATTTTTGCTTAGTCAAGGAAATCAGTAGTGTTTTAGGACGAGATTTGGCTGGTGAAAGATTCGTTAAATAGTTCAGAGATGGAGAAATGGAGGAAGATTTATTATTAGGAGTAGAACTGACCAGGAGGAATAGGGATGTATCTCTTGGAATACAGAACGATGGTTGCTTCTTTGATTTCATTAAATCTTCTGATGACATTTTTTCAACATCGATTCGAATATAGGGCAAATTTCGTAATACTGTCGCAATTATGTTTCTCTCTATCGACAAAGTATTCGGATTAGTTAGCAGTACAACTTGATAGGGTTTGAAATTTTTCTCCACGTAGTTGTTTAAATGATCCATACATTCTTCTATTCCTGTAGCAATTAATGGCACGATATATAAGAGTATAAAAAAATAATTTCTACTTTGAATAAACATTTTTTACTATTACTGAATTTTGTCACGAAATAAGAATGTTAAAATATAAAGATTTTTGTAGGTAATCAGAGGTGTATTCTTCAGTAGCCAAGAATGGATTAAAGTGAGAATTATATGACGAACGTTTGAAATTTATAACTTCACCTTGTGGAATTGAAAATTACTTTGTAATACATGTATTCGTGGCAAA